TTTTAGCCATCCTAATAGAACTTTTTTGCTAGTAATATTTTATTAAATTTGACAAGGTGATAACAAAAGGCTATAGAAATGTGTTCAGCTTTATTATAGCCTACAGTACCTTTCCATAAAGGTTAATATGGACTCACCACTCCTAATAATTAAATGGCAGTACTTCTGCTCAGAATATTCCAACCTTACAGTCCTCCCCTTTCCAGAAAAATCCTTTGGTTTACATTCTGTCCTCTTCCACTCTTCTGTGGTTTTCCCCATAAAAGACTACATCTGCAGAAATTTAGGGATATTTTCTCTTTCCTCTCAAAGTGCTACTGGATACACTATAGTAAAATACAAAATAAAATCTACTGATCAAGACAATTTGAAAGCTGACAACATATTTTGTTCCCTAACTATATATCCAAATCATCTCCAAAGTATTGTAGTCTTCTCTTGGATGTGATAAGCCATTTAAAATGCATTACACTGGTGACAGACAAGCTGGCATTTGCTACAAGCATTTTTATGATTCAGTAGTTTGCAGAGAGACTAAAAAACTAAGTAGCAGATTTACAGTATAACAAAATAAAAGCAGAGATCTCATCTGCCTGATGAACGACTGAAGCAGCTTTCATCTCCAGATTTGCAGATAGTTTGCCTGAAGGTGGAGAACTTATTGCTTGGGATGTGATAATGGCACCCCCAGGCTACAATCCCATGCTGAGGACTGTACACACGCAGGGGGTAGGGAGATTCCTAACTCTGGGGCAGTTTCCATCTAAGCAAGACATGAAAGTGCAATAAATTTGAAAGAAAAAGGAGACCTAGAGTAAGGAGAAGTGGCAATATGTGTATATGGGCCCCAGCAGCTGTGCCTGGCTGGCTGCTCTGTGCAGCCCTTGGCTCTGTGGTGAAGGTGCCACAGCAGACGTGGGGCCTTGCAGAAAGAAACAAATTCAAGGGCAACTGCAGCTGAAAAGCCATTACATACATAGAATTTGGCATCAACAGGCAGGCAGATAGAGTATTCCTGGCTGCCTTATGCCTTAGCAAACAGATATTAGATAATGCCTCCTTCTTGGCCAAGCAGTGAGTCAGTGGTTGAGATGAAGGAGGAGCTCTCTTGACTTCCATTCTCCACATCTGACCAGAGATCACAACAGATGTCTACACCCACACATTTGAAAAGGTCACAACATCTGCCTGTCCCTTAGCACCAAGGGACATGTTCAGCCCACCTTCCACTAAGGGTTAACCAGGATGTTTTGAGCTAAAATGTCCTAGATGGTGAGAGAGTGACGGAAAATTTAGACCGTCCCAGCATGCTCTTATTCTGCCTCTCCATCACCTCTAATCTTTCATGTCTCTCTCTGAGGGCTTAGAATCATGGACTCAGAGAATTGTTCAGGTTGGAAAAGACCTGTGAGATCATCAAGTCCAACCAGTTACCTCTGTACCCTATGGAAAAGCCCACAGAAATCAGTTCCTTTCCCACCAAGGAAATGGCCATGAGGCACTGCCAAATCATACTAAGCCTTCTGAGGCCAGTGGGAACACTGGATAAAACCAGCAACTGCATTTTCTATGCACAGACTTTTTGGTGCTTTCCGTATGATTTTTAAACCATGAGTAATGTCGGCTTTCAAAGATTTGTCCTATATTTGAACCTTGCTCACAGTCACCCACTTGCTCAGCTGTAAACATGATTTTAACAAAGCCATTTCAACATCTTAGTTAATTTGATTCTGAGGTCTTTCTCTTTCAGAGTGTGTAATTAAACTAAAAGAAGCTGGAAAAGCCCCTTACAGTAAATAATTTACAACTTCTTCCCTGGGGACATTTTTTAATTATAACTCTACTGGTCAGATCTTACTGAATAGTCTGAGATAGCATTCCCCGCTGAGATCTTGAAATATAATTAACTTATTCCTTTGGTAATGGTGTTTTTCCCTTAGTCTATCTATTTCCTATGCAGGGCAGGCAGATTTGTTTATAAACAAAGTGGAGATTGATAGACACTTTGTCACGAGAATAGCAATAATGGCAATCGCTGCACCAGACGGGGGCACGTCCATTTGAGGAAAGATGATACTGTTTTGAAGCAATTTTTATAAATCCTACCCTGACAATCCAGCATGGAGAGATACAAGAGAGCAACCAGACAGCCCCGATTCCTCTCGGTCTTGGCAGCCTGCCTCGCTCCCCGAGTGCCACTTCATGCATAGCAAACGTAAATAATCCTGACGCGCCCCCCACCCCCCTAACCTTTGTGCTTCAGGAACACTGCTATATACTATCAAACTGACAGTGATTTCATGTTCTGTGGCAAAAAGAAAAACCCTGAGCGACAGCAGCAAGGCTGGGGATGTCAAATGAAAACTGTCACATTTATTTAGCTCCGTGATTCTCAAGACAATATACATAAATATCGTTTTACTATCCCCACCAGCTAAATGTTAAGAGCTATTTGCATCAGCCAGGGTCCTGCAGCTCCCCCAGCCTGGCTGATGAGCCTGTAATGATCAACTCCTGACTCAGGAGAGGCTGGCAAGGAACAAAGCACCAGTTCCTCTTGTTCCCAATGATACAGTACATTAAATAGTCTCCTCATCCTTTCCCACTGCAGCTGTAGCCAAAAGGGCAGTTTGGAGTGAAAGTGGGAGAGAATGGCTGCACGAGGTACTGAAAAGTGATCTGAGACATAAGAAGTTTGAGGACACTCATTGCCTCAAGTCCTGAAAACCTTCAAAGCTTGCTTGCTTTTTCTACACCAATTAGTTCCAGCAACTCCAGTGAGTCCACAAGGACAAAGCTTGGTGCCTATCTGTGGCTGTGCTGGATGAGAGCCTGTATTTTGCATCCAAAATCTTTCATTTCCCCCCTCCTATTTTGAACTCTCACACAACAAAACCAAGTCCTTGTCTCTCAGCCCTTTGTTTCTGTACAGCTGCTAGTGCTGGCTCTGAAGTCTCTTCCCCATATGCTGGCCTTTCTGTACACAGTTGTTCACCTGGTATCATCTGTAGTGAAATACCTACAAGCCCAGCAGCCCTTATTCTAGTGAATAAATCAAAGTTCAGACAGCAAGATCAAAAGCTAAGCCAAAGGCCAGCACAGTGTTGGACCTAATATATGTATTTAAAACATGTATCAGATGCCGGTTCCAGGTTTCTGCTGTGACAAGCACTGGGTTCAGCGTGGCTTTGTTGATGTTGGTGGCAGGCTGTGCCATATGGCACACTGCTGAGCCTGATGTGGGAGGTGAACTCTTGCAGATTTGCAGACAAACCCAGGAACAGGCCTGCCACACATAAAACCTGCCCCATTGTTTCGTTTCGTTGCTCTCCATATGCTAATGGAAGTTCAGAAATGAAGAAGGGATTAAAATACTGACACGATAGAGATTGTAAAAAAAAAAAAAAGTCTGGTTTTCTCATCACTTTTCTTCCCCAAAGGTCTGGAATGGTAGGAGTCTGTCTCCCTCGTGTGAGGCAGCACAGCTGGCAGAACTCAGAGCTGAGGGGACCTGGGGGACATTCCAAGGACTGCACCAGCACCAATGCTGCCACCTCAATTTCTGCTTGCACCACCCTTTGTGCACCCACGGACACACCTTTCGTTTGCAGGGTGACACAGTGTGATAAGGAAGGGATGGAAGGCCAGCTCTGATCACCAGTGTTTCACAAGCAGCCCAGATGGCAAAGTGCCAGCAGCTGCCCTGCCCAGGCTGCAGCTTTCCTGCACACACGGGTGGGATGCCCAGCAGCCCAAGGCCAGAGGGAATTTCAGCCTGGCCAGATGGACCTCGGTTAACACAGGATGGAGAAGAACCAGGGAGCACAGGCCAGAGAGACCTCAGCTGCTAAGCTGATGGTCACCCCAGAGCCAAAGGGTTTAAATAGTCCCACTATTAGCAGAAGGGAAACAGCACTGAATACAAGCACTCTGAGAAGAAAAGGTTCACAGGTACTGCAGGCATGGTTTTGTTCACAAAACCAGGTGTTGTTGAGGAAGCCTTAAGGTCATTCCACTCTGGAGCTGGTCCTTAAGAATTTATGGATTTTTTAAAATGATGAAACAGAGTAGTTTGGTGAAAATAAATGCACTGATTTATTGACTGGGGGAAGAATTAAATATGCATAGAAAAGGTGAAGTTGTATTAAAGACAGAACACAAAATTCTGACAGTTTGATTGATCCTGATTGGAAATACTGTGTTCTTATACTACAAGTACAGTGTGCAGAGGAAACTCACTATCTTCTTCTGGATTTCCATGATTGTCTGGAGAAGCAGAGAACAGCCAACCTTCCACCCAAAAATTTATTCCATCCATAAAACCTGCTCTCTGCAATTCTCAGCATCTCTTATTTTTTAACAAAGCACCACACAGTATTTTGGGACATTATTAATAGCTGATGTACAAAATTAGAGAACTTTGAATAGAGAATTTTGAATATTATTTTACCAAAAAAGAGCTGTCTCCAGATAGAGAACTCCTTGACCACATTTTAGACTACATTACACTCTTGTATTCAGATAAAGGAAAGAACATATCAAACTTATGGACATCAATCCTTTTTTATTAACAGGTACTCCCTTTATTTTAAGACAATTGCAAGGAATTACTGCATACACTAAATTTAATTAAGGCTTTTTTCCCATCACCATTTTTGTCCAGCTTCCTCTAAGACATCTCCATCAATTTCTTGTTTTGCTCATGGATGAACACAATATTTAAATTTAAATCACACTAAGAATTTTTACCATTACAAGTATCTAATTCCAGAATGGATCAAAAACTGTCATTACTAGAGAGTTCACTTTTAAACCAGAGTAATAAAACCGTTTAGTATCAAGAAGCCTGTACCTCAAAAATATTATGAGATGAAATGGTCCTTATTGTAATAAACATTCATTCTTGTGTGCATTGATTCTAGAATATGAATTCACACCAGACATTTGCTAATTAGAAACAAATCAACACAATCCTCACTTCTATTACCACAGTTATACTGTTTTTTGAGGTTTTTGTCCCAAAACACAAAAAGTGTCTTTTATTGGTCCCAAAGTCACATATGACAATTAGGAAAAAACCATGATTGACGGATATGACATCTTTGGTTGCTTGCTCCGGAGGTGGGTTGGTATCAAAATACTTTCAGCAGTTTTCATAAAGGATTTCATCTACTGGAACATCATTTTCTGTCACAGGCACTGATTCACAAATCTGTTCTCTAAAAGCCAAAGCAATCGTGTAAGGCTTTCCACGGGGATGTTTCATACATCTTTCAAGATAGGTATCATAATATCCTTTCCCTCTTCCCAATCTGTTGCCTTTTTTGTCAAACCCAAGGCCTGGCATGAAGATAAGGTCAAGACCTCCTGCAGAAAAATGAAATAAGCATTAGTGGATGCCCTGTGGATTTCCTGATGGCTTGACTACAAACCGCATAACTTCAGATATTTGCAAGAACACAAGCTTTGTGTTTTGTAAAATGCTTCCCCTTTGATCAGTTGAAAAATACTTTGAATACTAAACCTGTAAATTTACATTTTCATCTTATCAACTGCATACTCGTTCAGCTGAAAAATAATTAGATCTTGAAAAGCTGGATGGGAAAAAACCCCCTACATTTTAACAAATTTATTTTATCATTTTAACCCCACACTTCCAAATACAAATGATTATAACTCTAAATCCAGGCTGAGACTGAACTCAGGGAAATGAAATGCAGGAAGAATCAGAAAATCAAATGAACTTCAACATCAGACACAAAAATAGAAAAGGAAAATAAGAATGAAAAGACATGTAAGAGAAAGTGGAGACATCTTGACACCACTGTAAGATGCCACGAATCCTCTCTTGACCTTCCAAACCCAAAAAGCCTTGAATACAATATATTCTGAAAGTGGTAATTTTCCCTCTTATATCAAGATGAAGATTTGAAGGCTTGCCCCTTCATGATGTCAGGTTCCTTTTGTCCCAAAGAATTTTCTTTCTCAGCCTCCAGCAATTTTCACTGCTGTTCCTGCAGCACACACAGGCATTCTGCTTCCCTGCCCTAAATATCCCTCCTTCCAGGATTCTTGTGAGATTGCACTTGATTGGAACTCAAAGTCAGTTAAAAAACTGAAAGAAGATGCATAAGCTGCTAATCACCTGGACTGGCTGGTGAAACCCTGACAGAAGATCCCATCAACCAGCTCCAGATAAAAAGGCAAGAGTCCTTGCTTTGCTCATGCTCTGTGAGATGTGGATGGGCACCATGCCAGGGAGCCAGCTCCAGTTTGCACTTGGCTGCACACTTGTTTCAGGAGCTGATTCACATCACTGAAACCACGAGTCACCACCAGGCTTGAGGCTGCTGCACGTCCCCATCACTTCTGCAAGTTCAGTGTGAGAGGACATCCTCTAAACAAATGAGCTGGACTGGCCTGGTGCTGACTCCTGAACCCAGGAACATCCCACTTACTCCTTTCACAATGCAGAGAAAGTCTTTTATTTCTTGCTGCTGTAGCAGACAGACACTTAAGGAGAGAAGGGCAGGGAGTGGAAAGGGAGCACAGACTAAAAGACAGCTGACACGAGTCTGGAAAGAAAGCAAATACAGAGTCTCAGTCCACTGCTTCTGTCTTCTTACAGGAACAGTGCTTAGCCTTGAGCAGCTTTTCTGTGACCAGACTCTGCTCCTCTACCAGAGCTTTGACCTGGTCAGGTACTTTTCTGCTTTTTCCATGTCCACACCTACTCCTTCCTGCCACTTTGGGCTGAGCTGCTTTTACTACATCTGAGGGATGATGCCCACCATTGAAGGAGATGTGTAGGAGCATGTACTGGAAAAGCCAGAGCAAAGTAGAGTTTTTCAGTTTAGAGAGAATCCCACCTGAAATCCCATACCCTGCCTGGAAGAGCATGTTAACAATTCACATAAAAACAACTCATTTGCACACACTTCCCAGGCTCCTGGATATTTCCTTCCACTTTTCATTGTTCAGAGAAGAATCACTGGCATGAACACTCAAGCATCATGATCTGATGTCTTAATTAGAACATTGATATAAAATATGCAAGGCAACACAGTGTGAAATGCTTAGAGAACATCAATCTTGCAAATCCAGCATCGTACAGTCATGGAGCACAGCTTTTCGAAAGAGGTCAGGGGAGTACGGGGAGAGAATTAGTCAAAGGACAGACCACAGAACAATACTGGTTGGATTAAAAAGGAGTCAGGGTGTTTTACCACACTGCAATCAACTTTTGACTCACAGGATAGTGAAATGAGTGAGATAGCAAATGGCAAACAAAGAGAAAAAGAGGCTCAAAGGCAGAAGTATGGTCTCCCTGAGAAGAGATGCCATTTTCATGGTACTACCACGTACATTATATGGGACATACTACATCACATCCCCTCAGTTTGCTTCTGTCAATAGTCAGGCCTAGGGACTAGGACCTAGAAACCAGCCCTCCTGTTAGCAAGGTCAGGAATAGATTCTGCAGGTTAAATCCTCCCCAAGTTACTCCTACTTTATCCTCTCCACAACCTGCCTCACATCAGCCTTGTGTAGGTATTCAGGTGGCCCAGAAGCCAGTAAGTACCAATCAGTCATGATGCACAGAACTAAACACATTCTGCTCAGTCTGCTTCAGCCCCTTTCACCCCAGGGGCCTCTCAAGACAAAAAGCAGGAAACATTTGCAGTCTGCTGCTGGCAGGAAGAATGCACACAGGGGGCAAATCTGCAGAGCAAAAAGGTTCCATTTCTCCTTACATTTGTGTTAGAGACATGAAGAAGACAAGTCAGGGGAAACACTAGGGAAAGAGGGAAATGGTAAAAACAGTGAAGGAAAGAAATATATTTTCTGTGGAGTTTAACTGATAGCATCAGGCACCTAAAGCAAATTTAGATGTATTAAAGCACTGTTTTCCTCTGGGTTCTCTGGAGAAACAGAGACTCTTTTAACAGTTGGCTCCTCTATAATCATGGGGGCTTTATGATAAAGAACTCAAAAAAGCTTATGCAAATCTCAGTATGAAAAATTATGCTGTAAATACTGTAATAGTTACCTTTATATTTTTCTTCTGTGAAGCACATCAATACTGAGTGCCTTGCTCAGACTCACAACATGTTCTCTGATATCCATGCAACTCACACTACACAAGATTTTGTTAAAATGTCTTTCAAGACGTTCGGTAGAAAAAATGACACAACTAACCGTGCAAGAAGCCCAAGGGCAGCTCAAGCAGTGTTAGTCCCAAATCCTATATCAGGGTCTAGAATGGATGGCAGAGAGCTGCATGGAGTAAATGTTTCCCTGACATGTCACTTGGGGAGCATCAAAACCTCTTGTGGTGTCTGTGGCAGTGTGGGGGAAGAGCTGTCACAGGAAGAGAGGTGACACACAGATGAGACCAAGATTGCAGATACTTAAGATTGCTATCAGCACTGAGGGTACATCAACAGGATGGCAGCTGAGGATAAGAACATGCCCCTTTGGCATGGGATCCTCATGCTCCCCAGCTCTCTCAGCCCTGCAGGACTATTGTCTGCCACTCAGGACTGTGCCTTGCTCTGTCCTCACATCCTACTGCCCTTGCTCCTACAGCCCACTGTGTGAATTGGCATCCTTGTCCCTGAGAAGACAGAGCAGGTACTTGAAAATCAAACACCACATCAAGTGTTTCAGTGCCTCATAAAACATGTTAAGGGAAGTCTCACATTCGACACCTGCCCATCTCCTTGTAATGTCCACTGTCTCCCATGTGTCTGTAGACATTAACTGGTGGTTCTTGGATCCCCAAGGGTCCTGTGGTCACCAGGAGCCCAGGAAAGCACATCCACAGTCAAGAGAGTTTTGTCACAGGTAAGCCGTGATTCTCCTGGAACACTTGCACGTGGTCTGCAAAGTGCTGAAGGCTGAAAACATTGTCTCAAGCAACAACACTTTGCTCCAGCTTCTATGTAGAGAATATCCATGGTTCTTGCACACTTTAAGCTACTGGGTAAGGTAGTAAGGTTAGTAATTATGATGACAGTCACCTAATACTCAATGTATCTATGGCATAAGCTCTTGTGCTTACAGCTCCTCCAACTGTGTAGCACCATGCGTGAAATAATATACCCTGACTTATCTATTAGTGTGGGCATACAGGCCTGCTGACACGGCCACACAGGCTTCATTTATACTGCTAAATGCAGCACAGCCAGAAAACAAATTGATTTACAGGATCACAGGTGGTCAATACCTTAATTGTCAGCACAGTGTCTGGCACTGCTGGATCAAGTGCCACCCATGACTGCTCCAGGGGACAAGACTGCCACGTGCAGTAAAGACAGAAGGGTACAGGTCTGGCTCCTACAGAAAAAAGAAAAGAGGCCAAGCTCTGTGTAGTGTGGACAGGACTTATCTGTGCCACTTAGCCCTATGTTGTTTGGCAGTGTAGATACAATCACAGCTTCTGAACCTGTCCTGTGGGTGTACAGGCACACTCTGTTTGCACTGACTCCCTTACAATGATGTAGACACCTTATTGTCACTGAGAAGAGAAATGACTGGCCCAAGGACTCAAGAAACGTGTAGCAAAACTACATTCAAGAGACAGGTGTGCAAGCTACACATGCCCTGACTTGGGCAGCAAACCAAAGCATTAGCAAACCCCTCTCGGTGTTTTAAATAAGAGTACACGGTTTTGTTTCCTCTAGGCAGCCACAGTGAACCTCAGCTTGGCAGTGCATTTCTCATTACTTTTCATGATGGTATCAGGTTTGATTTGTTCCCCAGGGAAGGATTTTCTCCTTGCACCTCATTACCTCTCTTCTCCTTAATCTGATGTTCCTATTTGAAATGCCAGCCGGCATTTTCAGAAGTGTTCTTGACAATGGTTAATTATAGAAGGGTCCATCAAACTGCACAGATACAGGTCATGTAAAGACTGCTGGGGACTTGTTCTGCCCTCAGAAGGAGCAGCCAGCACGGCCTCCCTCCTCCCAGGTTGAAAGGGGCTCCACCAGCCCCTTGGCACCCACTGTGTAGGGTCACTCATCTCCCCCTGCACAGTTTGACAGTCCTAATGGAAGCTGGAATTGAAATACTCTGTCATCCCAACTTCTCATCCCTCGCTGCCACTTGCTTTGTGGGCACAGCAAAGCGCCTGGGACCCATCAAAGTGGGAGCCAGGACTCTTTTGATCCTCTTCTCAAAAGCAGTGTCAGAGGACTGGGCAGAGGCCGAGCCGCAGCAGCTCCTGTGTGCCTGTGAAGAACAGCAACGTGCTCACACGAACCTGCTCACAGCACACACCGAGCCTACAAGGGGTCAACAGTGATCAGCTCCAGGTCACTGCTGCTGCTCCTCACAGCAGCAGCTGTGCAGCTTGAGCTTCC